CTATATATATGAAATTGCTATTAAACTCTACATGTCCAATGATTCATTCAAGTATTATTATCGTTTATATATAATATGATTTTGTCTAATATTCAGTGGCAAGCTAGCCATGGCAACTGGTTATGCCACACCAATAAACCTGCATCTATTTGACCAATTGATGCAAATTATTAGAAACTTGCATAGCATAACCTGTTGCAATCATGTGAGTATGGGCCTAATCTTGTTTGGGGGGCACAGTATTACTTTGCCCGACCGTCGCTAATAGATATTTCACCCAAAAATTGTTTGGGGGTGGGGGTTAGGTCACCAAATGCACAGATTTTTCCGGACATACAGTAACATAATTTTTTGGTTTGCATAACATTATTTTGTGAAATTTTTATGTTTTGCCCGAATGACGCATGGATTTCTGCCTGACCGTGAAAATTTTGGGGGGTCTGTGCCCCCCGGCCCATACGCTTATGGTTGCAATGGCTAGATTCACCACTGACAGTATTATAATTATACATACAAAAGCAAGAAGTTATAAGCATTGAATATTTAGCTGACCTTTGACCTTGTGCAAGGTGTTTGATATTCAAATTGCACTTTTCCTACCTACTGAACAGGTGTCTTAGGGAATAGATTAAGTCTGTTTACATGATGGAAGATGGGATGTCATGATTTTGATGTATTGAAATAAGTCAGTAGGCTAAACAAAAGTTAAAATGCTAGTTAAGAGAATTCAAATATTGTAGAAAAGATCTTGTAGTTCCAGAAGATTGTTATTACATTTCATTTACAGTTTAACTAAATCTATCTCCAGAAAATAATGAAGTTCTTTTGCTGAATTGTGCACTGTGACTTGTTTCAATACATCAAAATAACCCCGCCTCACATCTCTTTATGGCAAAGCGGGATCATATATAAAACAGCCCCCTATTCAGCAAATTGCACATGCAGCCTTTGGTCCCTTGCGGGTGAGGCAGCACTTTCCTTGCGATAGTAACTTCTAGTTATATAAAACAAATAGATAAGATTTGGCCGTTGTCTGTTCAGTTATAGATACACATTATGACGTCATAATGGGGAAGAACAAAAAATTGAAGCACTCACCTCGGCGGCTCGTGGCCATTTTTTTGTTCTTCCCACATCATGCGTTTAAGGTGATTCATCAGTTATTGGTCTGGAAATGAGAATTTTCAGGAACTTCCCAGGGATGAAGTTGTGATATGTTCATGGTAAAAACAGAACTGAAAAAAGTTGGGGTCACGAACTCGTTTCGAAGATATGACAAGTGCAATATATGTCACCTTTTCCCCCGTATGGCGCCATCTTGACCCTTTTACGAGTTACAGGAACAATCGCAATTGCTCAACCGTTATTGAATTATTTTAGAAGGATCCTACTAAAAATGTCTATCTAGTGATTATATACAAGAAAACATGGTAATTTAGCGAATCAAAAACCATTGACATGCATTGTCGACATTATCGTGTTGCAAAAGTTGTCCGTTTTCTCAGACCGTGTTATTTTGGGAAACATACGCGAAAAATATCTTGAAGAGAAAGACCGAGGGTAAAAGGGCCTAAAGAAAAACCGAAAAATAAACTTGGGAAACATTTCCTCTTCAACCTCTTGCCCTTGATTCACGAGTCGCTCCAATTTTCACGAATCACTCCATCGCATATGCCGCGCCATGCTCGAAGTAAATATTAAATAAATATATTGCCTATTGGTTATTAATAATAAATAATTAACGTATCGTGTTTGTGTTCAAACGAGGCCGGTTTATCAATAATCTAGTGATAGATGGCCGGTCGTGGAAACAAAACAAAGGTCACAGGCTACAGCTTGAATAGTTGAATGTGAGGTATTTATATAAAGTATTTACTGATATTTCAAGATAAAATGTATTTGTACAGAGTATTTGTATATATAATTTATATATAATCGTCTTACTTCAAAAGGTTGCCACAACGGAAATTTCAAAAAAGAAATTTCTAGTAAACAATGATATTAACAATGGAAGGAATGCATGTATTGTTTGACGCCCACGTTTCCGACCGTAAACATTAAAGCAGCCCACTTTTCGAAATTTATCAATCACCTGGCAACCTTTTGAGGTAAAACGACTATTTCTGCTCCATCTATATGATATCAAGCACTCTGGCATTTCGTGAACCAGACCACATTCGTAATTATATGATGTGAAAATTTGCAAGACTGCGTGATTTCATCGTTGAATTTTCACAGGTCTACTATTAGATCACAGACACTGCCATGGTTTTTACCGGTTGTAGTATTTGTAGGATGCGATAAGTTAATAATTAACTTCGAAGCATGTAACAACGTTGATTGACATTTGTAATAAATCATCATTCAATCTATTCTATAATGGCGACGAGGATGTAAAAATAAACAGCGTGAAAAATATAACAGAAAACTAGAATGGCGGCACAAAACATACAGCCTATGCCTGCTTTTGAACCAAGGAGTGATCCTACAAGTACAAGTGCGAGATGGACACGATGGCTGGAGAGATTCAACACATATTTACTCGCAGCAGATATTAAAGACGATGCGAGAAAGCGAGCTTTATTATTGTATCAGGCGGGGCCCGAAGTACATGAAATTTTCAAGACTCTAGAAGAGGGCGAAACCAAAGATTTTAAGTCAGCAGTGAAAGCGTTGACGGAGTATTTTGAACCAGAGAAAAACGTGATATATCGCACCTATGTTTTTAGACAAGCGACGCAAGGCAAAGAGGAATCAATCGACGAATTTCATACGCGTTTACGAGGCTTGGCAAAATATTGCGAATTTACAAACATAAATTTTGAAATTAAGATGCAGATTGTAACGAACGGCACTTCTTCAAGATTACGAAAGAAAGCACTACAAGACCCAAAATATAGTTTGGCAAACATGTTAATCGATGGACGAAAATACGAAACTAGTTCAGCTCAAGCCGTTGGGATCGAAGAACAATTCAAAACAAGGGAAAATATAAATGCAACTAATGCAATGGCTATGACAACGCCCACTGAGAAAAAGTGTTATTACTGCGGTTTCAAGTATCCACACGACAATCAACCGTGCCCAGCGAAGTCTGCTATTTGTAACCACTGCGGAATAAAGGGACACTTCGCTAAAGTCTGTCGAACACGAGGAAAATCTTTCGCAAGTAAGGGAACCCTTGAGAAATTACAAACGCAAGGTTTTACCTCCCCAGACAAAAGGCGCCAATCACGATGGGACGAGAATAAACAACGAAAACAACAAGCAAAGGCTGTCGGAATATCACAAAGCGAACCAAATACTGAAAGCTCGGAAGAAGAGGATTATGTTTACACAGTATCGCAAGAAACGAGGGAGAAAACACACGCGACCTTAAAAATAAATGGACAGGACGTTTTATTTTTGGTTGACACTGGCGCGACTGTTGACATCATTGATTCTACGACATACGCGAAATTAAAGAGGAAAAGTTCATTACGTAAAAGTTCAACTAAAATCTACGCATATGGATTTCATACACCTCTGCCTCTAAACGGACAATTTCAAGCAACACTCGAATCGAAAAAGCGTTATACCGTGTCGCAAATGTATGTAATAGACGGTGCAGGAGGAAATTTACTAAGTGCTAAAACAGCCCAAGATTTGGCCTTGGTCCAGCTAATTAATACAATTTCCGGTTTTCCAGAACAAGATAAACAAACAAAGACAAATCAAAACAATACACACAGCACTGCATGCGAGA